AAAGGCATAAGGCTGATCTCACACATGGGCTCCTTAAGGCTTCTGAAAGAACCATGGACAGTCTTTAATACAAAGCATGCAAAAAAAGCCATCTTTAAAAGCATTGGTTTGAGGTAGCCCATTTCACTTAGATGGACCAGAAAAGGTCATGCAATTATGGAACCTCAACTGTGGTGACAGTGACCTCCAGCTCAAGGTGACAACTTCTTAAATTGCTATTACTTTCAGCACAGAACCAAGCAAACGAGTTCAGAAAACAAGTATTCATAGCAACTTAGCAATTATGCTGCCCATATACAATACTAGATAGAAGGGGTGGTTTGTTTTGTTTTGGGTTTTGGTTTTTTTTCAATAATGAAGCACTAGGAAAAATATTTGCCTATCAAAGCTTTTAAACTTGCTCATTCTTCGAGATTTGATTTTGAAGTAATTTAAAACTGGTGAAAGTGTGTTATTGGTTCTTCTGTGCCGAATCATCAGTTACTAGAATAAATCATTCTGTGTACGCAATTCATGATTAATCAGTTTTTAAGCATAGAAATTCAGCTGATCATGGCTCTGTTACACAAATCAACCATCACTTTCACTCTTCATAAAAGTTTTTTAAAAAACTAAATAGGTCTATTTTCAACAGGTCCTTTACGAAAACAATTTTAATAAAAAAGAAAAAATTAAATAAGGTATTACACACAAGATTTTTTCAAGAGAATTTTGCATTAGTCAACAAGATGTTGAAACCTGCTGTGTTGTGTTGCCCTCTTCAGGTTGTCAGCACTTACGTTTTCTAAGGTTTTTTGCTTGACAAGCCATTGCAATTTCAGCTTCTGTCATAAAAATTTTCAGATTTGCAGTTTCAAGTAGGAGCTGACTTCACCTCTATCCCACCAGCGCTTGAAGTATTTTTGATCTAAAACTCTACAGAAATAAACTTTACTTTTGGCCTCTACTTCTCTCTAACTATGATACTAGTCTTGAGGATTATAAAAATATCAGGAAGTGTTTGAAAAGATGACTAAAAAAGCAACTTCAGCATGGGTAAGCAAGTCTCATGACTTAAAGAGCTCAATTGATTCAGCTTACCAAAGAAAACTGAAGCTGCTGAAATCACTCCATAAGATATCTTGGAGGTTAGAAAGTCAGATGACTTTCAAGTGGTATAAGGCAAAACAAAACTGGAGTTGAAGTCAGACTAATTCAGCCTTGAAATATAAGGCTTTTCACCAAAAAGACAAAAAAGATTTTAACAACCTACTAGTGCAAAAGGATGGATTCATTATTACTTGAGAACTCTACAGGTGGACCCCATTTTGATCAGTTTTTGAGAAGTTGTCATAACAGAGGCCAAATTGTGATGCCGATTTGCATACCTGCAGTGGGTTTTGCGATTGATAATCTGAGCTCTGCCAATTGAAGTGGAAATAGGAATAAAACAGTTGCTTGGGAAAGGGACATGCTTGGGCTTCCAATTAATTTTATTGAGCTAGATATTAATAATGTCAGAGTATTTAATTTCCGCCTCCCACTTTGCTGTTTTTAGAGGACAGGTCACGGAATATATTTAAATCTATTTAGACATCTCAGTACTGCAACTTTGACATAAAGAGCAAAGTGTTGGATTTAACTGATGTATCATTAACTATGAAGAATTTCACTCACAATGATTTAATCAGAACATCTTAAGGAACATATGATAGAAAAAACCTGTTCAAAGCTAAAGCCTACTATACAATTAGCCAACAAAATTAACAACCTAATCAAGACCCTTGGAAAACAGAGGCAAAGTAAATGTTCATTGCAGTACCATGGCATGTCCCAGTACCCAAATAAAGGAACAAGCAAACAATCCCAGATTATCCCCTCTTGGGCTGGCAAACACACAACAGGCAGCCTGCCTTTAGCAAGTGAGATTCTAGAAAGGCTCGAAAGAACTTGTCATTAATAGTCTTAAAGTATTTTCCCTCACACATTTTTCTATTTTTTTTCTCAAGAATGAAGTGCTATTTACAACCTTAAATCCCATACACTCACAGGGCAGACTCCAGAGGAAGGGAGGAGCACGGACAGAGAGAGAGCAAGGAAGAGCAAGTGGGTGAGCATGACACGGGGAGAGAGCAAGACACCAAAACTCAGGTATGAGAGCAAACTAAGTGCACAACAACTGAGACTCAGAGTGCTCCCATCTGCAGCCTAAGACAGCAGAGAAAAGTTCATCAGGGTTGTCTCTATCAGCATGCAGAAACTCTTCTCTGGTGCCTGACTATTATACCCCGTGACAGTGGCTGGAGCCAAAGACTGATGAAAACATCCTGCCATCTACCAGTCATATAGTTTGTTCAATAAGAAAGTGCAAAACCAGCTGGTCTTATAAACATGGGGAAAAAGCCCTCAAGCCAAACTAGCTCTAGTACTGCACAAGAAAAGAAGGACTCTTAAACCATATTATACTCAAAACATTACTATTATTTTCTCTCTTGCTATTAAAGAACAAATGAAGAAGGCACTCTATTCAACAGTAACTCTGAGGTGATGAAGTGGGGAATGTTTTTTTTGATGCAATTAAGTGTCACAAAAACATAATCACTATTTTTAAACCACCTCTGGTAGAAAAAGTTTCCATCTATGTCAAAGGTTCATCTGTTGCAAGTTCCATACAACACAGTTTAAGGCTACAACAGCTGGTAATAAAATCTTCAAGATCTCTTAGCCAACTTTTAAAACTGGAAATGAGTTGATCCTTAGTGATACCCAGTCTTTTTCTTCATCTTCTACAGTAGATGCCACGATTCTGGTCCAATCTTAGCTGCTACACTTAAAAGAAGAGGTGCTGGACAAGGGCTTTTAAAATTACCTGTGGTTAGTTTAGTTCTGACTTAGATGTTCATATTTTTGCCATCTCTTTCTCCCCCGCACACTATCAGATTTGGATACCACGCGAGGTATGATTCATATTATTCTTTAGAAATGTATTTTAACAGACAACATTTACAATTGAAAGAGCCTTTAGTTTTGAAAACATCAGGCCTTCAGTGAAAAGCATGTCAGATCACTTCATTGCATGCATTTTTTTCTGCAGCAACTTTTCCCAGTCACATTTAATCATTGCTAAGACTGATTCTTCTTAGTTGATACCATAATCTAGTCCATGTCTTTGAAGGAAAATAATTCATCCACCTCACACTCCCAAAACACAATCTAGGCAGATCCCTTCACAGATTTTCCTTCTAATAATTTTGGTGTAATGGAAGGTAGGGAGACTAAGAGGAGGAACTCTCCTCACTGAAGGCAATGCCTTGCAACTGCCTCCCATCCACCAGTATATCTTTAAGGATCTACAAAATCACTATGTGAAAACACATAGGGAATAAATACAAACCCAGGCTAAATTGGCTTTCAAGTATTTACATAGGGATATGCAAGCAACTAACTAGAATTCAAAGCTGACTTCTACTAGCACTAGTGGAAATTAAATGCAATCAGGGTGAGGGTTAAATACATCTTAAGAATACTTCTGAATTGGTTAATTCAGCACAAACCAAACAAAAAAACTAGAAACACCTGCATCCACTTCTTTAAAAAGAGGAACACTACTGAAAATATTTAGAAATAATGAGCAGCATTACTGAAAATAATATACACCGACCTTCTCAAAGGCTGTCTCAGCATCATCTGTATTTGTGTTTGGTCTTCGATTCTTAGATATTTTGGGGTTAAACTACAGCAAGTAAGAGTTTCCAGTTGAAAAGACAATGAGAATTCAGATAAGTAGTACTGGCTAAAGAGACTGCTAATACTGAATTATATATTTTTTTTAAAGCTTTACTAGCATGAAATCATGTGATATCAAAAAAATTTCCTTGTGACTTAAAGGTCTGTGCCTTATTCAGACAGCAAAACCTCCATTTTGCAAGTCCATTTATGCAACTTCTATGAAAAGACTTAAAAAAAATTTATCAGAGAATAAACAAACAACTTAGTTACCAACCAAACAAGATGTCGTGAGTGCACCAGTTTTCCCGATACATACGTTCTGATACTTACCCAAAACTTGCCACCTGCTGTGATCTCTGACAAAATAACTGACTTCCGTTCTCAATCTAAGGTTTCACTATGACAGTAAATGTCTTATATCTAACATTAAAAGTTACTTCAGTCCCATTGCAAGATCATATAGGTTAGTACCGTTATTAAAACTCGTGATAAAGTAGTATCAGGCTATTCACTACTATGAATAAAGGACTTTTTTGATAGTTACAGGTACAAAACTTAAATGTAAATAGAAGAAAATGTTTCAAAGATTAAACAGAGCAGATCTGTTTAATTCACAGACAAGCTACATGAATTCTATACAAGCTTTTAACCATACTTAATTCCAAACTTCATCGTGATCCTAATGCTATAAAAACTAAGGAGACATCGAAAAATTGTAAGGATTCCATAGAATGTGTTTCCAAATAAACTGTTGAGAAAACAATCCACTGGTGTATTAAATAAGAAAAAATATTCTAAGCTAGTTTTGGATTGAAAAATATACCATTAGAAGACTAAGGAAAGAACTAGATGCAAGACCTATGCCATTAATTTCACTTTATAATGGCAACAAGAAAAGAAGCCTACACAGTAGTTGAGGGAAAACTGTCGTTCCTGAAATGTCTGATTTCAGACTTTTCAGAGGGCATTTTGCTTCAAAGCAGTCTGCATAGTTAGCAGCTATTTTTAATGACAGAATTAGCTTTTTAAAAAAACAAACATCATCTATACCAGCCGTAGCACATTCTCAAGTATTACACACAACATAACGAGTGGTAATTACCTATTAGAATGAATACAGTTTATTTTGTCTTTGCTGATTGATGCAACTCAAGAGTCCAGCAAAGATGGGTATACAAAAAGTTTTACCACAATTTTAGAAAAGGGAACGTATAATTCTGTAAACAGATGATGATACATGACACTTCAGTGGAAGAGTTTGGTAAAAACTGTTTTATTTCATTGTCTCCTACCTGATAAATTCTAAATGGGATGTATCGAAATCCACTATCTTCTGGAGAATACTCCATGAGTTTTCGATTTATTGCCCAAAACTGCTCAAATTTATCTGTGAAGGTAAAATTGGATTTTGTTAATATTAATAACATATATTATTTTTTCAGCTAAAGAGGTAAATGAGGCAATTGAAACAACATGCAAACTTTTCTTACAGAAGTTTGACCTATACGAATCTATAGTGCACATTTCTCCTCCCTATTTAGCCTGAAGTCAAAGTCCATCTGCATTCTCCTACAAAAACAGTGATGTGGCAACTTATCAAACTGAAAGAAAAAGCAACTTCAATTCATATTGTATCTCTCACTGTTAGAGATATACTGGTCCACAAATTATAGCCACCTCAATTAACAGTGCCTGTTGCTCCACTCTCTGCTGCTACTGGTCCACACTGTCTCACAGTTTGTTAAAAATATCTAATTGTTCTTAACTATATATGAACAATAGGTATAAAGCAGAGAGAAACCAAAGCAGTAGAAAAACCTTCTTGAGGGGTTTACATTTGGATTTGTAAATCTTAAAATAATCTGCCACAATGTGTGATATAATCAGAAAATATACTGCCAGTTTCACGACAACTTGAAATAAAAGTTCAAAATACATGCTTGTTAATACTATCCAAGTAACCAGGTTTCTTAAAGCAGCCCGAGGCAGCACACCATTTCATCCTGTTAAGACATTACAAGAACTAAATAGTTTATTCCACTTAAAATGTATTAAGGACAACATGGGTCCAGAGCAGTAAAGGCTTCCATACATACAAATCAATCCAAACCAAGCAACCAACCAATACCAAAAGTGACAGAAAAGAACATGAAGAGCTAAGATTAATAAAGCTGCCATTAGCCTTACTGGAGAAGGCAGCTTTAGAAAGGGAACAGCAAGCGATGTATTTCCCTTCTTACAGGCCCTAACTCTCCAAGACACCAAACGCAACAGACATTTCCTCAGAAGGACCACAGACTCTCCCATATTCTCTCCTCAGCACCATGTTCAGCTGTGTCTCAAGAAGCCTGGAGGTATAACCATTAGAGAATTCAGTCCCTCTGAAGCAAGGTAAAACTCAAATCTATTTGCAGAATCAAGGTTCTTCCTGCTTCCAAAACTGCTGGTAACAATTAAATCAATTGCAGAAAATTCGAAGAATTTGAGATTTATTTCACTCCAGCATACAGCACATATGTTTGTCAGTGCAATACAAGACACGGTTAATACACATTGCAAGGTTTATAACATGCTGTTTTTCCTGACCGAATGTGACACAAGGCAAGAATTTCCAAGAAACTGTAAACAAACTCCTGCCAGGTATTCTGTAGGAGCATTTCCTGATACTTATCTCAGAAAGTACCTCCACACCCTTGTTTCTTGATTAGCAGCAAGAGCCTCTTGACAAGCACTTACCTGAGCTGCAGTCAGCACCACCACACAGGCACCTGCCTGAGACCAGGAGCTGCCTGGACACAGGGCTCTACCCCATAGCAGGGTCCTACCCATAGCTCACAAACTGGGCAGCTCAGCAGGTGACAGTGACAGCCCTGGAGGTAACTGCACCCAAGGAAGCCTGCATTTGGGATACCCAGCCTACAATGTCTGACACACAGAATGACTGCATCCTCCTCAGGAACTCTGTCAAGGGGAAGGTGAATATTTAGCATACTTCCCCCATCCTTGGAGACAGCACTGAGAACAGCTTACAGCTTTCACTACAGATTGTGTGGACAGGCAGGCTACAGCAGGCAATTGTCAATTTATACTTCAATTACCACTTCTGACTATACTGTAAAATCAGTTGATAAAACTACTAATTACAGTGATATAACAAAACAACTCAAGACCTAATTAAGCTAAGGAGCTTCAGCAGACTCTTAAATAAGGAATCTACATACTTAGAGACATCCCATCACAACAAAGATAAAACAAACATTAATTTCATTTACTTGTTTAATGCTTATATCACAACAACTAGGAAAGTTGGGTAAACAGCTTACTGTCTTCAAAATTCAGTAGAGATTCAATCAGTTCTGATCTTATGGATCTGAAGAACAAGAAATTCTGAACAAGTAACAGACTTATGGTAAGAACTTAGGTGTATTGTGCCTCGTGGCATATATGGCAAACAAGTGAGGAAAAAAAAGGAGAAAAAAAAAGTTAAACAGTGGTAATGCACATTTAAATAACTTTTCTTTATTCTAGCTTCCTCACCTCCCAGAAATCATCCAAGTAATCTTATTTAAGGCAGGTAAATTTACAAACTTATACCTCTTATTCTCTGAACACACTGACAATGCTCAGGACAGCCTGCCGTTCTGTCAAAATGTTTCAATTTCTAATAATTTTTGTAGTTTCTAAACATAATAGCAATAAATCTGCAACAGCTGAATGATGAACTTGTTGCATTTTGTAATCAAGTATGTTTTATCAATCCACCTGATAGCCCGGGGAGTGAAAAAACATCCCAGCAAATTAGCTAGACATAATGCCGTCAAACACGTAAAGACTCATCTCTGCAACGTGTACAGCACTGTCTGAAGACATCTAAGCTAATTCACTCTAACCTTATATTGTATCCATAGTAAGAGGTTTGGAGGACAGCGGTATTTTTACTACAGGAAACTGAGTTGGGTGTAAGCAAATTAACACAAAATTTTCAATTAAGCAGCAGGAAAAGGCTATCCAGTTTGCATACCGATATATATGACCTGGCAACAGCTTTTATTAGCATAAGGAGCGTTGGCTGAATGCCAGAATCCCAAAGCTCCAAAATGCAAAATCCAAAGATAACAGCTTTCATACAACCCTTAAGAGAAAAACAAAAAATCCAACACACGTGCACACACACACACACACACACACACACACACACACACACACACTCCCCTTGAAAATATAAGTGAAAAGGTTAATAATTCTCCCATTTTTGTGTGTCACTACCTCCTATTTATGCAAAACAGACTTAGGGAAGCTATTAATGCTATGACGAGCTATAAGAACTAATCAGTACTTTGGCTAGACAGGACTTAAAGACAGAAGGTGCTGGCGGGAAGTTTGACAATCAAAACAAAACTGAGTTTTCATCAAGCCAGTAAACAAGGAAGAGTGCTCTACCTATCAGCAAAAGCACTGTACACACATCTCCCTCCCTCGTGAAAAGCTTATGCAGTCTACACGATATCTAAACTCCCGTAACAGTCAAATCTGATTACTCTTGTTTTCCACAGTCCATCTGTTTTTAAGAAAGTGCTTGACCGATGTTTAGAAGAGTTTCTGTATTAGCAAAAAACCAGTACTTGCAAAAGGCAGATGGTCATATCTGAATAACAATATTTAAATTAATGGCAATAAAATTCAAACAGAAGTGAGATTAGTGACAGTACAAAAAAGTTTCAGATGACTCTACTAATCATATTTCTTAAACAACAGAGGATGGTTGCTATGTAACTTTGCCTAAAGTGAAATACAAAAACTTTCCTCTCTGTATTTTATGTCAAAGGTCAGAAAAATCAATAATCAAATAATGGAGGAGAGATCCAGCTGAAAAATCAATCAGCTAAGTCACTTGTGTTATAAATACTCATTTATTAGAAATGCAGTCACTGCATGTCCAGACACAGGACAGACATTTGCCTTCAGTAATACAGAGATGCACCGAATCGAAGGAGAGCTTGAAGTTATTTATATATATAAATAGTAGGAGTTGGCAAAAACAAGGATTTAATGTAATCCATAACAACTATCTCGGTACACAAATTCATAAAGTAACAAATTAAACCTCAAGCAGATTTTCAAACAGTGTCACATTATACATTTAGGGTTCAGAAATCTATCACTGCACTTGTTCGTGCCTTTAAAGCGCCCTTTAAAACAGGTTTGTTTTGTTGTTGTTATTTTTTTTTTTAAAAGAGAATGTTACTGGAAAACACTTTGAGAATTACTGTTTCCTCCATTAAGCAAGACTGGAGAGCCTTTAGCAGTCATTGAAATTAATTCGAATTTACAACTGTTACATTAAAAAGTGGTTAGCAACTCCACTCATAGTTTGTTGTTAATAGTAACTGCTAAACCTTTTACTACTAAGCAGTATTAACTAAGGGTAAGAGTCGAGGCTGAGATTTTGAAGTCTGGGCCTTCTTCTCAAGCTGAGATTTGGGGGCAACATTCTTCAGACAATGAGAAAGATTAGTTTCATTTGTGCTAGCATCTTACAGTCATTCTCTGAAACTCAAGTGCTGTCATGCTTCAAATGACTAGAAATTTCACACAGATTTTGATTTTAGATGCATCTCTTCCACACACCTGACTCTTCACAAAAACGGTAATCAGGGTGGATCACCAAGAGGGCAAAGGGCACTGCTTGAGCGCTTGCAATCAACACATGCATTTCAACGCAGCCTAGCTTTGAATCAGCATACACAAAGAATAAAGGCAAGTATCACAGAATCAGAAATTATATCTACAAGTAACTTGCAATAAGACACAGTGGTCACAGCACACGGACAGTTAAAATGAAATTCCCACTGTAGAACAGTGGGCAAAAGAACTAAAACAAACCACATTAAACTTGCCAGCAGAAATATCTTAATAATAAGGATTTGTTTCTGTATTTGACACTGATGCAACTGCTATCAGAATACTGACTTCAGAAGTGCATATATTTCAAGAATATGTGGAGACACTTTAAATAACAGAAAAAAAAAAGCAGAAATGAGGGAAAGGTTTAAATTCAAAAAGGAAATGGTAATTCACAGCTTTTATCTTCCAGTATCTTTAGAAAGTCAAACAAGTGAACAAACAGGTGTCATAGCTGAAAACAGCACTCCATGTGGGGTCTCACCAAAATTGAGTAGAGGGGCAGAATCACCTCCCTCAACCTGCTGGTCACGCTTCTTTTGATGCGGCCCACAATATTGTTGGCTTTCTGGGTTGGGAGTGCACTTTATCAGCTCACGTCCAGCTTCTCATCCACAGTACCCCCAAGTCCTTCTTGGCAGGGCTGTTTCCACTTCCTTCATCTGCCAGCCTGTAGATACTGGGGGTTACTCCAACCCAAGTGCA